TTTCTCTCGGGCCCTTTCCAATGCACCCTCTTATGGTTCTTTTTCTCCTCAGACCCTTTTTGGTCTTTAATCTGATTTTACCTGTAGAAAAATGTTGCTGGGAGCTTCCAACCCAGAACGACGTGTAAGAAGAGTCCTGGGACGCCTGGAGGGCTCAGTCGGTTAAGCCGCTCCCTTCGGCTCAGGTCATGATCCCAGGGTCCTGGGATCGAGTCCTGCATTGGACTCCTTGCTCAGCGGGGAACCTGCTTCTCCCTCTGCCTCTGCCTGCCTCTCTGCCTGCTTGTGCTCTCTCTCTGTCTCTGACAAATAAATAAATAAAATCTTAAAAAAAAGAGTCCTACAGTTCGAGCTCCTTTGAACATTGCTTTGGTTCCATTTCAGTGCCTGTGCACACAGGGGTGTGTGTGTGTGTGTTTGTGCATGCGCGTGTGTCTGTATGTACATAGTACATTGTTACTCCTAGTTGCAGTACCCATCGTGCTGCCTTTGTGCCTGTCTGGGAGGGCAACGATCCTCCCACCCACCCAGTGGGCAGATCCCTGCCTCCCCCGTTGCCCAAGCCACGGGTCACACTGGAGTCCTTCTCACCCCTGCTCCAGGTGTGGCTTTGGTCTTTGGGAAGCCCCAGGGACTGAGGACAGGCGGAACAGTGTGTTATTTGGGCAATCAGAGGTTGGTGGTGGGAGGGATACAAGAATTTGTCTTGAGGGCTGGCTTGGGATGGCTGTGATAGGGACAGGCAGAGGTGGTCTTGGCGGCCCTGTGGTTCATGTGTGTCCGAGCTTTCGGAACAAGAGCTCCGGCGGAGGGAATGAGGGTGCTGCTGCCGGCACTGCCTGGACTTGCCTGGGCCGCCCATCCTGCTCATTAGCCCTGACTCTGCAGCCACTGGGGCTCTGGGCGTGGTGTGGCTGCATGTGACTCCTAGGAGGTGGGGATGGCGGCAGGGCCATCTCTGTCCTCCGCCTCTCCTGTTCTAGGCCCGTGGGTCACTCCACCGCCACACGGCCACACCCCTGCAGCTTTGTTTCTGCTGAAGGGACAAGGTCTGGGTCCTCCTGATTCATGGGGATGCACTAAGGACTTGCAGAGTCATCCTGGGCCCTGACGCTCCCAGGACAACCCTAGGCCCTGAAAGGCCTGGACGTCTGCATTTGCCTCTCAGAAGGCAAGAGCTGGGGCCCGTGCTGCTGCTTCTGGTGCCTCCCCGAAGTTCGGTACCCACTGGGGACTCTCTCCTTGGCCCAGTTTTGACAGGAGCTGCACAGGCCAAACCAGTGTTTCTGTGACTCCACACCTGGGGGGTGGCGCAACATGTCTGGGCATTTTGGAGATGGTGTCAGCCGATTTGCCTGGGGTTAGAACGGGGGTCAGCAAACTATGGACCTTGGGCCAAATCTGGCTCACTGTCTGTTTTTTGTAAAGAAAGTTTTATTGGAACATAGCCATGCCCATTCATTTCTGTATTGTCAGAAAAGCCTAGAATATTTACTGTCTGGCCCCTGATAGAATACGTTTGCCAGCCCCTGGCTTGGAAGAGACCTTAAATTTGATCTCAGACACTTGGGTCTTGGCTCAAAAACAGTGTCCATCACAGGGCCAAGTGCAATGACCAAGAAGACGGATAACAGTGATCTTTGTTCAGTGTACAGAACACAGCCTAGAAAATAAAAATAACAAAACAAAAGGGAAAATGCCAGCTGTACTAAGTCCTTCTGGAACATTGTCTCAGTGGAGCCTGAGGAAGCATGGGACGCCCGTCTTACTGGAGTAGCAGATGGAGCTTCGGGAAAGCTAAGGCAGAGTCCTAGGCAGTGGCCCGAGGCGCTGTTTGGGTGAGCAGGTTCCCCCCCAGGACCGGAAGCCCCAGCAGCCGTGCCGGTGGTGGAGGACAAAGTAGGGAGGTGCAAATGGGGGGGAAGAACCCTACTGGTCATCCCCAAGACGAGGCTAGCGGAGCTCCAGGAGACCCACAGAAGGGTGGGTCTCTGCAGCCACATTTAAAAATAGAAGGAAGGAGAGGGCAGCTGGATGGCTTCGCAGCCTTGCATGGCAAGGAGGTGGCTCGGTATGGACAACAGGAGGTCTACGAGAAGGAAGTGTCGGCTCTGACCGTAGCCCGGACGCAGGGTGGGAACAGGCAGGTGACAGGTGTGTCGAGAGTGGCTCCAGGGTTGCTACAGTGCTTGGCCCGTGTGGGGGAGTCTGAAGGCAGGATGGCCCAGAAGCAGCAGAGTGGGCTGGCCCCGGCCCCTGGCCAGGCTCTGGGGTGCCCTTGCATGGGAGCTTCCCACAGGGCTGTGCACGCTCTTTCCTGTCCCCCTTCCTCCCAGGGACTCCTGCAAGACTTTGTCCTCAGTGGGGATGACGTGCGGGGTCCCTAGTCTAGCTCCGGGAGGCCCCTAGTCTAGACCAGGGAGCAGCCTGTTCTTACAAATAAAGTTTATTGGAACTCAGCCATGCTCATTGATTTCTGCACTGTCTGTGGCTGCTTGTGGAGTTGAGTAGTTGTCAGAGACTGCCTGTCTGCAAATGTGGAACACTTACTGTCTGGCGCCATGCACAAGACCTTTGCTAATCACCATCTCACTGCAGTAGGAGTTCACATACTCTTACTGTGTGTATGTATGTACACATGCAGGTCCCGGCTCAGGGCCCTGAGAGTTCCCTCCCTCTCTCCCCTTCTCACCCCCATCACCCTTGCCTCACTCCACCCTTGACCTGCCCCGGCTCTCCCCACCTTCCTGGCTCTTCTCCATTCCCACCCCTTTCTCTCCAAGTAGATAAATTAACGTGTTGGAAGGACTTCTCCGCACCACCTCCCTCTCCCACACATCCTGCCTGCCCAGTGTCTCCCCCGACCCCCAGCCTCCTCCTCACTCCTCACCTGTGCCCATGGTGGGGTTGGGATCTCCTGCGCCAAGATGCTGGGACAGAGCCCACCGAAGGGCAGTGACCGCTTTGCTCCAGAAAGAGGGCTTCCCACAGGGTCCTGTACAGGGAGGTCGCTGGGCACCTGCCAGAGTGAGATGTCCAGGCAAGGATGGGTATGGATGCTTCCGACTATGGGAACTGCCCCTGCCCATCTAAGGAGGCTACTGGAATGGAGTCTAGGGAGGCATAGAAGAGAGGAGTCAGGGAAGGCTGCAGCCAGGCAGCCCCCAGACTCTATAGTTATGAGGACCATGTTTGCACACCAAAACCCCGGCTCTGTCCACCCCCACACAGCCTGGCAAGCAGGTGCCAATGCCATGGGGTCCCCCTCTGCAGAGCCACAGGCAAGTCCTGAAGAGTTTGATGGCTCTCAGGAGTCAATGGGCCTGAAGGCCTGAAATTGGGAATGTCCTGGGGCTTCAGGACGTGAGGTCACGATATCCACAGAACTTTCCAGAACCAGGGGGGTCCTCTAGCCGCAGAGGCACACTTCTGCTCTGTAGCAACTTTGCATACATTGGACACAAGAGGTCCTAGCCTGGCTCTGAAGAAATGACCATGCCTCAGGGAGGCTTCCATTCCATAGCAGAAAGGGGACGATGAGAAGCTTGATGTGCTCAGTGAGGGCGGGGGAGGGACACACCCAGGAACATTCATCCTCCTGAGAGCCAGCCTCCTAGAGGCCTGGCCACCCTGAAGATGCGGTCCCAGAGGATAGAGGCAGCTTGGGACCGCTAGAAGACTGGCGATGAGAGGCAGCAAGCCCATTGCAGATCCCTCCCCTCCTCCCGGCTCCTGCTGGCTCCCATCCCAGATTCCCCTGCACAGCCTGCCCTCCTCTCCCAGCAGGTGCCCTGTCCCTGCCACCCACAGAGGGGCCTCCCGCAGCACCCCCCCAGCGGGCTCCTTTGGACTCTCTTCATCACAGGCACCCAGGCCCCTCGCCCCCGCATGCACATTCAGTGCCAGTTTTTCAGCCTGGAGCCTACCTTCCCCCTTGTCTGCTCGGTCCCAGGAGCCCGTCCCCCAGACCAGGCGGCCAAGAGTCCCACAGGCCAGGGAGGTTTGTGGCGGCCGAAAGAAGCTCTTCCCCAGTGAGGCCCAGGAAACCCAAATAGCGTGTTCTCTTCCCTTATCCAAGGCTGGACACTGAGGACAGGAATGGCAGGGGTGGTCGCTTGGCCCCACATTTCAGGCCCCCTCCTTGGCACTGCCAATGGAGGCACCAGGACAGATACCGTGAGATCTCTCCGACTTCCTACCCAGGTGGGCTGTTGGGACCCAAGGGGCCAAATGTAGGCTGCTGGTTGGAGGGTGTGGCTGGGGGAAGTGGCAGTCCTTGAAGTGTTGGTCCAGCACTACGTGAGGGCAGGGGGTGAGAGCCTCTGTCCTCACCTGACCAGGGGCCAGCCCCGGGGCCATGAGAAGAGTGTCACTGGTGGCCCTGGGCCAGGAGGGACATAGGACTTGCTGGAGAGGTCGCAGCAGCCTTGGGGACCAGCAAGCCAGGGGACCCCTAGGGCCTCCCAGCCGAGCACCCATGCAGACCCCCAAGTGAGCTTTCTGGCTACACTGGGGTCCCCTTCCCTAGCATGAACCCCCAGAAGCAGCTGTGCTAGAAAAGAAGAGGAGCTGGGAAATGGGGGCCTGCCCCTTCTGCTGCCTCTCACGGCCTCATTTCCCCCCGAAAACCGTAGACAAGGGAAATAAGTTTTCCCTTCCTGTGACCAAGGAGGATACCCACTGCCTCAGGCCTGATTCAGGTCCCCTGCCAACTTGGCCTTCTGCCCTGAGAGACCGTGGTGGGGTATTTGGTGAGGGTCGTGCAGCCAACACCATCGAGCATGATGCCCAGCCCCGAGGCCCACCTCTCCACACCAACTCTTTCCTCACGGTAGTCTCGGGGACAGAGCCATGGCCGCAGCCTGCCCCGCCTCAGGTGTGCCCGGAGCCCCAAAGCCGGGTTGCTGGGACGTGTCTGCGCGGGCAGCCTCATACTCGCAACTTTCGCGTTCTTCCCGCACCTCTACTCACCCAGCCTCCTTTTTCTCTCCATCCATCAGGCAACACTGAGGGCTCCGCTGTCTCCAGAGGCCGCCCACCACCCTTCCTTGGGACCACTATCTGGGCCTCATCAGCAAACTGGACGGGAGGCCCCACGGTTAATGAGTTTGCCCCAGGAGTCCATGCAAAGGTGAAACCAAGGGCAAACATGGGTCAGAAGGTCACTGGAGGGATCAAGACCGTGGACATGAGGGACCCCACATACCGGCCCCTGAAGCAGGAGCTCCAGGGTCTGGACTACTGCAAGCCCACCCGCCTAGACCTGCTGCTAGACATGCCCCCCGTGTCCTACGACGTCCAGCTGCTCCACTCGTGGAACAACAACGACCGATCGCTCAACGTCTTTGTGAAGGAGGACGACAAGCTGATCTTCCACCGGCATCCGGTGGCCCAGAGCACGGACGCCATCAGGGGCAAGGTCGGGTACACACGCGGGCTGCACGTATGGCAGATCACGTGGGCCATGAGGCAGCGGGGCACACATGCTGTGGTGGGGGTGGCGACAGCAGATGCCCCCCTGCACTCCGTGGGGTACACGACCCTCGTGGGGAATAACCACGAGTCCTGGGGCTGGGACTTGGGGCGCAACCGGCTCTATCACGATGGCAAAAACCAACCGAGCAAAACTTACCCGGCCTTTTTGGAGCCGGATGAAACATTTATTGTCCCTGACTCATTCCTCGTGGCCCTGGACATGGATGATGGCACCCTGAGCTTCATTGTGGACGGACAGTACATGGGAGTGGCTTTTCGAGGACTCAAGGGCAAAAAACTGTATCCTGTAGTGAGTGCCGTGTGGGGCCACTGTGAGATCCGCATGCGCTACTTGAATGGACTCGACCGTAAGTGTCCTGTGTTCTGTCCAGTGTGATGGTTCCTGGACTCCCTGTGGCTGTGGGATCCTAGCTGCGCCTGCCCAAAAATTTATAGTCACTGGAACTAGAAAGTCTTTAAGTAGCTATCCCAGCGTATTCAAATCCTCAGAGGCTGTTTTTCATGCCTCTGCTTAAGTGAAGAATTCTAACTGGAGTCTGCCAGATTACCTGATAGCTTCTCGTGGATGGGTGAATGAATGGGTGGCTGGATGAGTGGATGGATGGATGGACGGATGGATGGTTGGATGGATGGATGGATGGATGGATGGATGGATGGATGGATGGATAAATGAGTGGTTGGATGGCTGAGTAGATGGATGGATGGATAGAAGTATGGATGGATGGATGGATAAATGAGTGGATGGATGGATGAGTGGATGGGTGGATAGATAGATAAATGAATGGATGGATGGATGGATGAGTGGATGGATGGATGGATGGTTGGATGGATGGCTGTGTGGGTGGATGAATGGGAAGGTGGATGGATGGGTACATGGTTAGATGCTCTTTGTTTCTGGCTGACCTGCCTCCAGTTTTGATTTGCAGTTGACCAAATTCTGTCACAGTAGCCAACATACTACTGAGCTGGGATTTGCCGTTTTGGGGTTATGAGGACCTCTTACATAAATGAAAGCCAGTGACCTCTCTTGCTCATTAGATAGGTTTAGGGTCTCTCTCTTCTGGTGCCAGAGGCTTCTGAGTTGGTTCCTTTAGACCAGGTCCCCTGGGAGGGGCTTGTTCAGTCATGATGTCAGGAGGCCTTTGGAGAAGAACATGTGGATTAGAAACAGGTTGAATCAGCAATGATTTCCACCAGTCCTTTGGAAAAGGGAGTGGCCTTTCTCAGACCACACGTGAAAATAGCCCACATGTGGTGACATGTCCTAGTTTAGGAGGTAGAGGACTCTGTGGCTTCATGGCTGGGACCCATGGTGACAGGAGGTCCCAGAGTTCCAGAACTATCTATCCCCATGTTTGACCCTTAGTCTTCCATAGGTCCTTTCTACCATCTTCAGACCTCAACTTGGAAAGGGGGTGGGGCAGAAAGCTTTGCCCACCCATGTCTTGACCGTCCCTACAGGACAGGTTTGGCCTGGCAGCCAGGGACGCCCTGCCGGGGTCAGAGCACAGATGCTTACTGTAGTCTTGCAGCGTCCAAACCGTCAGCTTCTCCTATACCTCTTCCCTGCTTCAGCCTTGGAGAATGTCAGAGAAAATATCCAGGGACATAAGGCAGAGGGACCTCTTAAACGCTTCTCTTTGGAAGCTGCCACTACCCGTCTTTCCCTTGCTCCTTGCCTCTGCCTTTGGCCTGGTGATGGCAATGACCTCACCAGCGCAGCCTAGTATCCCTGGGTCATCGGACTCCCAGCAGGGGCAATGAGCTGTGCCTCTGGCAGGTAGCCTCCCCGAGGAGGTAACTTCAGATCTGGTCTCAGGAACTGGCAGAGCAAGTTCTGTGAGTCTGTCTCCCCAGGTGATGGTAGTAGAAAGTCCATAGTCAAATCTGCCCTAGGCCGGGACGGGCAGGGTTTGGGAGAACCAGACACCTCCTGCCCAGAACCTAGGATCTCAGGAGCCCTAGCCCTGGCAGAGGAGTGACGATGGCCCTTGGTAACTTACTGCCCATTCTGTGCAGATGGAAGAATGGATTGCTGGGCTGCCCGTGCTGTCACTGGTCTGCTGGTCTCCACAAGAGCAGAGCAGCCATCACCCCCTCCAGTAACAGGTGCATCAGCCCTCCCCGTTCACAGAGCCAGCTCTAATACAGAACACAGACCGCCCAGGGGCCCAGGGGGACACTAGCCTGTTAACTGTGGCAAGTTGGGGCACACCCCAGCAGAATTGTTCCTCTGCTGAGTCAGGGCAAGCCTCGGCAAAGGTTCTGCCACAACAGTCCTGGAGGCCCAGATGGGCATCTTATAAAGAGACAGAGGCCCGTCGTCAGCTCTGCATCAGATGGGAGGTCGAGTGATTTTGTAATTTCTTGTCGGGAGGAAATGGAAAGGGATTAAGGGGAGTGGGAATGTGTTGCTGAGGGTTGCATTTGGGTTCTGGGTCTTGGGTGGAGACTCCAAGTGCCAGGTGGCTTGAGCCTACCTTGGATTCTCTTGATTAATGATGAGGACCCTCTCCCCCGAAATGTCATGCTATAACCCAGCGGAGTCTGCCTTCCTGTTGGGCAGCCAGGACAATTGCTGGGAGGCAGCAAGGAAAGGATTTACTCAAGAGGCAGTCAGACGAGGAAACAGGAGGCAAGCCTCAAATCCAGCTCCCTGAAGGGAGAGCCGGGGTAACTTAAAGGCAAAAGGAAAAGGTCTGGGTAAAAAGTTGCACAGGGAGTCTGCCACTGCCATCAGTCCCGTGAACTCTCTGGTTACTGGTTTTGATGAAAGGGAGAAGAGGCAGAGTGGCTATGAGGCTTGGGGGAGAGGAGTGGCCTGGACAACAGATGAAGAAGGACTTCTGGAAAGACAGAGGCGATGCCAGGTTGAGCACCGGGAGGGCTGAGAGGTGTCCATCAGCTGTGGCAACAAGGCCATCACTGGTGACCTTGACTGAAGTCGTCAGGGTTGGGTGGGGTCAGAAGCCTGACAGAGCACTGGGTTTGCAGAGGAGCGAGAAGGCTGGTGTGTTCGATTCGGGGGGCTGCTGGAACAGATGACAGCCGCTGGGTGCTTAAACCAACAGAATGCGTTCTCTTACCGCTCCGGAGCCCAGACTACAAAGTCGGGTGTCAGCAGGATTGGTTCCTTCTGAGGGCTCAGGGGGCTCCTCCCCAGGCCTCCGTCCTGGCTCCTGCTGGTTGCCGGCAGTCCTTGCTTGTGGACACGTTCCCCCGTCTCTGCCTCCATCCCTACATGGCCTCCTGTGTCTGTCCTCATCTTACCAGGACACCAGCCATTGGATTCTGGGCCCGGCCCAGCCCAGATCATACTCCAACATGACCTCACCTTAAGTAACGACATCTGCAAGATGCTATTCCAAGAGGGCCACATTCTGAGGCTCCAGGTGCTTCTGAATTTAGAAGAGGGGGACACTCTCCCCCCATTATATATATATATAGAGAGAGAGAGAGATGTGGAGACAGTAACTCTAGACCATTCCCATGAGACCCCCAGGCCACCCCCTGAGGGGAAGGTGAGACAGTAGTCAGATGGGGTACCCATTGGGTGAGGTTGAAGGGCACCTAAGTCTTCTGCCCATGAGAGTTTGCCTTACCTTCCAAGGTCACTGAGGAACGGGGAATATCATGGCGAGACGGGGTCCGTGGTCCACCGGGAGCAGAGTGTGAAAAGCAGAAAGTCTGGCCAGGGCTGGCTAGAGACATCATCTCGGGGTCACAGCCTTGGAGGCGTTCTGACTCGTTAGCCCTCCCTGGGCTGTCTGGGAAGCCATCCTCACCCTCCCTCCCCACCCTGCCCCACCCCACCCCACCCTGTCCCAGACACCAGGTCCTGACCTCCACAGGGAGCAGCGGTTTGCAGAGCTGGTCAGCCGGACTTGCTCAGCGGGGCCTCCCCCGTGCTGCAGGGCTCACCGCAGTGAACAGTCTGTAGCCTGTGAACGGCCTGTGCAGCAGGCCGACACTCCCCAGCACTACCCCTGTCCCCTTCCCCTGTGCACCAAGCCCACCCTCCCCAGCAGCATCCCTGTTCCCTTCCCCTGTGCGCCAGGCTGACCATCCCCAGCAGAGTCCCTGTCCCCTTCCCCCGTGTGCTGATCAGACCCTCCTAGCAGAGTCCCTGTCCCTGTACTGAGGCCAGAGCCAGAGCAAAAGCGGAGCTGGTGATCAGTGTGTCCCTATGTGACCCCCCCCACCATCCAGCCAGCTCTGACCACAGGCCACTTGTTCTGACCACCTCAGGCCTTGAGACCTTCTGGGGCTGAAGCCACAGCCAGAGGGACTGTGGTGTCACTTTCATCTTTCCTGGGGTGAAGGGGTGGATAGGACCATTGTAGCGAGGAGACAGGGCCCACTGTGGCCTCCAGGCCTACCTGTCCCCTCCCTGGAGACGCAAAAAGGAAAGACCTACTTGCAAGCCGTAGGCTGGCCACCACCCAAGGGAGGGTCCCTGCCCCATGGGTCTTCCCTGCCCCCACCAGTTGTGACCGCGTCTCCTGCTAAGGAAAGCTTTCCTCTGCGTTCCTCCATTTTCAAATTCTCCCTTTTACAGCTCCCAGATAAGTTTGGTGAGGTTTTTTATGATTGTGGTTTCAGAGAGGGCTCCGCTCTTTTCCTCAGGAGACTTTCAACTTGGTGGCCTCCTCCTGGGGTCCTCCTGGCCTCCCTAGATGCCCTCCCGGGGTGCGTCACCCAGTGGTGGATCCTACCTGCACCTGTTCCCGCTGCGCTCCAGGAAGCCCCTAGTCAGGGACGCTAATCACCTCTACCTGCAGGGGCTTCCTTCCGGGGGAGGGAGGCCACTGAGGAGGGAAGGGGTCTTTCTAGGCCCCCTGTCCCCCGAAAGGCTGGCATATGAGGGCAGTAGGCTCTCAGAGTCAGGGGAGCAGGGAACCAGAATTACCAAGCCACCCATCCGGGAGTGAGGCATCGTTTCCTGGCTGCCAAGAACAAGGGGTCGTGTTTTGTTTTGCTTCTTTTTTGTAAGAACCGCTTAATGTCGAGGGGAAACGCGCACATAGGCTGATGGTCCTCCACGATGGCCCACCTCCACCCATGACTTCCTAGAATCCATTTCACGGAGCATTTTCAGTGCAAGCTTCTTGCAGGAGTGAGAGGGAGGTCAGTCTCGGGACCGGTGAAGGCGCCGGTGTGTGGGGGGGGACAGGAATGTGGCTGGATCAGGAGCGCTTCTTGACGTGAGTGAGACCCTTGCCCTTGACCTCACAGACCTGAAGTTCATTCCCTGAGCCCGTGAGCTAGTGCAGGGGCAGGCCCTGGAGGTGTGAGTGGGGCTGTAGCCTCTCTGAGGAGTGTGGACGGGTCGGGTCGGCATGATGGGCCACGCACGGTCAGACAGGCCACCCAGTAATCATTCCTCCTAGAAACCTAGAAACGTGGAAATTAGCACAGAGACCCTTTCTCGACCTTCAGCTCCCGTAAACAGCACCTGATTCACTCTCCAAATAAACCTTGGACTTCCCTGTTTGGGAACGTCGAGGGTGGAACTCCAGTGGGCACCTGGCTTTGTGGATGGAGCTGGATACAGAGTCAGCAGGCCCCCGTCCAAGGCATTGAGGTGGGGAGGCCTTCTTGGGTTCCATCAGTGACCAACTGAAAACAGGACAGACATTTTCCATGGCCCGGTACCCACGTCCGGTTGCACTCCTGCTCTCTGCCCGGCCTTTGGAAAGCACCCAGACCGTGAACCCGTGCATCGTTTGCCCCCTACAAGATCCAGGAGGGGGGGGGGATGACCTGTGCGTGTGTTTATGTCCCCCAGGAACAGACCCATCCGTAGGATGCTTGTGTGACTGGTCGTATTTTCAGCTCATGGTGCGTCACTATATCTGCTGGCTGTGGCTTCTACAGCTCATCCTGGCAGGATTGGGGCGTCTGAAAGACACATCCCTTCCGGGCTCACAACCACTCTCCACCTGGATTACCCAGTGTGGTCCTAAGATGGTCAGGCTTTCCGGGGGAGTGGAAGGAGGTAGCCACAGGTCCTCATCCCTTGGCGTAAACTGCAGGGGACTCTCAGGAGCTTCCTCCCCAAGCTGGTGTAGAGATAGCCCGACTACAGAATTGGCTGGATGTGGTGCATGTCCACGTTCTCGCCCTTGGCTCTCCCCTCCCTAAGCCATTTCCCCATCCATAGATTGCAGGGGCCACAGTCCCTGCCAGGCACCCCCTTCATGGTCCACAAGTTGCTGCTGGTGATGTTTTAAAGATTATTTATTTATTTATTTATTTGACAGACAGAAATCACAAGTAGGCAGAGAAGCAGGCAGAGAGAGAGTTCCCTGCTGAGCAGAGAGCCCGATGCGGGGCTCGATCCCAGGACCCTGAGATCACAACCTGAGCCGAAGGCAGAGGCTTTAACCCACTGAGCCACCCAGGCACCCCTGCTGCTGGTGATGTTAATTTGAGGTCGGCTGTCACCAAAAATAAGGGAGCTGGAGCAGGGGGTGTGCAGGGCTCTGCCGTTTAGAAGCATTTCTTAGTGAGGGTACCCATGGGATGCCTGGAAACCATTAAGCTAAGAGGGTATAATGGGAACTCCATCTCAACCTTCCCTCCGCAGCCCTGCTTGGCGCTCTGGCCACATTCAGTGGTTCTTGATACTTTCTTAAGGGTCCCCAACCAATCAGGGGAAAGCCCCTCTGCCTCCGCATGGGGGTCCAAACCACATTCTGGAGGGAGAAGGGGCTGGCCCAATGTGGCAGATGGAGGGAGCTCCTGAGTGGAGGAGAGGAAGGGCCACGCGTGCAGGACGCCACGATGGGGGAGACCCAGGGCTCCATGGGCTTGGGGAGAAGCCCACCCCTGCTCCCCAGGAGTCTAAATGTTCACCCCTTCAAAGGGCGAAAGATAATTTAGCTCATCCTTCTGCCTCTGACCGAGGCTCCCCTTGATCATCCTGAGCTGTCCAGGAATGGCCCCAATTCAAAGCTTTTCATGAAAAACACTGACCGTTTCAGTTCCCTTTCCGGTCTCGCTATGGCTGACGGCCCATGGGAGATGAAGAGTAGTTGCCTTCTTTGAAAGCCGGAGTTTAGTAAATGTGTTACCAAGCCTGAGCCCGAGTGTGTTGATAACAGCTCGTCGGGATGTAATTCACAGGCAGTACCAGTCCCGTGTTTAAAGAGCGTGACCACTAGGCCACCATCAGTGTGATCAGCTTTAGAACACCTTCATGGCTCCCCGAAAACCTCAACAGCCCTCACTCCCCCACTTCCTCCCAAAGCCTCCAGCTGTAACATTTGCTCCTCAACACTTGAGTTTTTTCAATGTTATTTTTAATATTCTGAGACACACTTTGATCCCCTTCTCATTGAAGCATGGGGTCTCGAGGGAAATGCTGGTTTTTTTTTTTCCCTCAGTTTTTTGACCACAGGGGAGTCTCAGTGTCAAGGGGAGACCCTGGCCAAAGCCACAGATGCCCGTCCCTTTAGCTCTTTCCGGATCCGCGACGCTGATCCTGAGCAGCTGCAGGTGTGCTCTCCAGGAAACGTCACCTGCAGGGAGGCAGGGAGAGCGAGGCCCCCCCTGCCCCCGCAGAGGAGAGTTCATCTGAGACATGGGTTGCAGGGAGCCTCTCTTGGGGGAAGACAGGTGCAGGCTGTCTGGGGACATAAGGACCGAAGTGCTTACGCAGGCTGCGGCTAGAAATTCCTCTCAAATCCAGGCGCCCGAGGCAGCACTATGAGCCCTGCCTCAGTTTCCCTAGCTGTGAGATGCTCTGGCGGTGCCGGGGGTAGCCTCGAGGGTCCCGGCTGTGGAGGCTGGGCTGGTATCATCACCTGCTCTGGCCTGGGCCCCTGACCTTCACCCTGTCAGGTGCGAAGAAGTGCAAGGACCTAGGGTTTCTGCGGATTCTGCCCTTTCAGGCCGTGGGATGGCCAGGCCTGTCTCTGGGCATTTCTTCCATCTTCCTTGGTGGCACGGTCTGGTGGCCAAGGATATGGTGGCCGAGCCGGGCTGCCTGGATTGGGACCCCGGCACGCAACCTGGACGCGGGGGGCCCCCTCTGCTTCAGCGCCCTCACCAGTGCGGTGGGGACGGCTGCGGGACCCGCGAGCGCCGGGCTAACGTGGATTCCCTTCCCGAGCGCCTGTGTGGGGTCTGGAGCTGGGGCCCGTGCTGGGACTGGCTGGCTTCCATGTGCTGTGGTCGGACACGCAACGAAGGCTTGTCGGGTGGGTAAGAGGAGGGGCCGCCTGGGCTCGGACCCGGCTCCTTCTCCTTCCAGCGCAGTGACCCTGGGCAAGTAATTGGGACTCTCTGTCCCTCAGTGCCATCTGTTTAGTGGGGACGATAATAGTGATGTGTCCCTGAGATTGTTAAGTCCCTCCTTACGCAGCATAACAAACTCTTCAATGAGTTTGCATCTCCAGGGGGCTCACAAGGGTGCCTGGCCCAGAGCAGGTTCTCTCCGTGTTTGCCATTAACAGTTGATTGAACACGTGACGTCGCCTCGTTGCTGATTATATAGTAACACATCATAGTACCGCTAGGGTGGCTGTCACTGTTAGCATTGTTTCTTCTAGAACCTTCTAGAACCTTCTAGAGCCATCCAGAGCCATGCTAACCTGTCCTCGCTCTCTCCTCCGTCCCCCCAGCCGAGCCCCTGCCACTCATGGATCTGTGCCGCCGCTCGGTGCGCCTGGCCCTGGGGAAGGAGCGTCTGGCTGACATCCACACGCTACCACTGCCGGCCTCCCTCAAGGCCTACCTCCTCTACCAGTGATGCTCCACCCTGCACCGCCAGCACGCCACCACCCGGTGCCACCATGCCGGCCTGCCGCCGTGCCCCGCACCTCGGACAGGCACCCGGCCACCTGTCCATCCCCCCCGCTGCCCCTGCCGGCTACTGACAGCTCGACGCAGGCTCCTCCATTCCCTGTCCCGACCTTGGCAGAAGCCCCCTGCGCGCCGTTTCCACAGTCCCTCTGCGGAAGAAGACCCAGAGAACAGACTCCTAGGAAGCCCTCCACGGAGCTCCAGCCCACCCTCGGGGTGGCACGAGGATCTCCATGCTCCCTGCCCCGACCTGGCAGGGCCCAGGAGGAGGTACCCCGGCCTCCTCCAAGAGCATATCCCAGGGCCGCTAAGAGGTGCTCGGATGAGGGCTGGTGCTGAGGCCAGCGGGGCCACGCCGCAGCAGACCACACTCAGGACGTCAGAAACTCATCACGGACACTGAGGCAGAAGCCAAAATGGGACCTTCCACAGGCACACAAGCACCCACCATCAGCCCCGGCTGTCAGCCCCTGGTACCCTGTATTTATTCTTTTAACAATAACAAAAGCCATTTATTTATTCCATTTAGAAAGGAAACCTTGTTTCGTTCCCCTCTCTCCGGAGTGTTCTGTTGCTTCCCTTCTACCCGCCCCTCCCCGGGATGTGTGCGTCTCCCCTGTCCCTCTCGTCGGGCTGTGGCTGTGGTGTGTCCTTACGTGGGCACAACAGTGTCTCCCTGTGGGTCCCTGGACCTACAGTTCCCAAGGGGCTCTGCTCTGGGTTCCTGAGCCCATGCAATATGAGGGTCTTGGGGGACCCGTCTACAAGGGCTGTGGCGCGCCCCTTGTCTCCAGCCAGGAGACATCCATCTTTGCACGTGATTTTCCTTCTTTAGTCTTCTGTGGGGGGTTTGCTTTTGCTTTCCCAGCTGAGACCTCCCATGCACATCCTCGGAAACTCTGGCTTCCTGGAGCCGGAACTAAGAAGGGAGGATGAGCAGGTCTCCAGCCCCAGGGAAGCCAGGGGCGCGGCGGGGCGGGGAGCCCAGAGTGAGGTCGAGGCCCCTCGGAAGCCATCGCAGGCCTCCGCCTAGTGTCCCCGTCCGGGCTCTGTGCCCAGGGGGAGCAGCCTCAGCTCATCACGACCCCCCAGAGCCACACGAGGAGCAGGGCGGGGTGGGGCGGGGCAACAAGTGGAGGAGGAGGACCCCCGACTCCCTGCCGCAGCCCCCCCCACGTAGCAGACCCCACCCCTGCAGCCGCGCTCACCGCTTCTTTGATCTCGAAGTCAGCTCGCTTCAAATCTGACTTCTGTTCATTTCTGTACAGGTACAATAGATGACTTTATTTGTTTAAATGTTTAATATATATACATATATATTTGTCTGTAAGAATTATGTTTTAAACAGCTGCTGTAGGGTACCTTTTAAAAAAAAAAAAGTCTTCCAGTGGAGTATATTTTTTAAAGCACAAAATTGGTGCCAAGTCTGGGTGAGGAATGTAAATTACCCCCTTATTATTTTGAATTTTTTTTTTCCAAGTTGGGGGAGAAACCTTACCTGTAAGACTTTTAAAGACTTTTCCTCACTTCTGTTTCAGGGTGGGTCATGTTCTCATGAATGTTGCACACAAGAGAGTTTTACTTACACAGATCCCAACCTTCCCGCCTTGACCCAGTGTCCTCCCGCAGGCGCTGGATGAATCGTGGGCTGTTGGTCCTTTCTCTGCCCTTCTGTCCCCCGGCTTCCCAAACCTCAGCCCCGCCTTTCTCTCCTCTCCACCCAGAACCTTGTGACCTGTACAGTTTTGAAACTCCCGTTCTATTTTATGATGATTAATAATAGTAACCTAATAAAGGAAAGTTTATTAAAATACCAAACCACTTTTGAGTCCCTCTTTGTGCCTTGGGGGGAAGGGAAAGGGGTGTGGCCAAGCCCTCCCTGGGTCCAGTTTTCAATAGATAATGAGGTGATCCCCTGGGACCCCATGGCCGAGGATGGGAGGCCAACCAGAGCCCCCATGAGGAGGAGAATCCTAGAGAGGTGATCCTAAAACGTCTCCATCCCTTTTCAGAAGTTCGTGAGCCTGCAGCCCAGACTGAGCCCTTCTGAACCTGATAAGAAGGATTCTGCCCATTGGTGAGACCTCTGGCTCATCAGTGTCCTACAGCTTGAGTTGACAGTGGGCTTTTTAGGGGCAGAGTAGAAGCCCGAGGGGGCATTCTCTGAGTCCAGGCTCTGCACATGCAGTAGAAGGACCTGGTCCTTTACTCACTTCTGTGTCCCCAGTGCCAAGCATGCGGTGACGCTGATGAGCTTTCTCAGGGAACCTATTCTCCCCGCTGCTGTGGGCAGGATCCCCCCAACCCCATGACCTAGCAGAGGAGACGGGAAAATCCGGCTTCTTCAGCGGATTGGCGAGTGATACGTGAATAGTCAAGACATTGACTAGATACGATCGCATGTCATGACTAGTCTGCAAAGAATTGGCAAGAATGCAGTTCAGCTCCCCACGGACCCATCAGGATCTCCTGGTGCTGTGAAAAGTGGCATGGTCTTTTCCCAGGGGGCCTGGGAGCCCTTGGACCAAAGTCCCCTGTCCCTTTCTCTGCCCACCTCCTAGCCAGCTTTCCTCAGACCACCTGCCCTGGCATGCCCCTGGGAGGTATTGGCTAAAATGCATGTTTTCTCAGAGCTCTGCCTGACCTGAACCGAATCAGCGTTTCTGGGGCCAGGCCAGGGATCTGCAGTTTTCTCAAACTCCCCAAGTGACCTTGCCTAAGAGTTTGGAGACCACTGTTTGTGACTGTGTCAGCTCTTTTTCCGGACAAGTTGCTGAGGAAAGGGAAATTCTTTCAGTGTGTTGGTGGGTTGGCCCAGCGACGAGCAACAGGGACTCCTGAGTCAGACCTGGGTTCAGATGTTGGCTCTGACCCCTCCCTTGCTGTGGGCTCTTGAATGATCCTCCGTCAAATGGCAGTCCTCACAGTGCTCATCTCGTAGGAGGGTAGCAAGGGTGAAATGAGGCTTTCGAACAGGGCCCAGCATACCAGCAAGTGTGCAAACAGATGCTTTTAAAGCTCATGCACTTCTGTTCTGGAAAATGGTCCAAACATCCCTAAACCAACTTTCCGATAAATGTTCTTTCTTCTTGGGTAAAGTCTCCAAAGATCAAGGTGGGTACAGGGGAAAAGAGAGCCCTAGATGCCTTCCCCAGATGCGTTTGGAGGAAAGGGGTGGCCTGAAATTATTTTTCAGTTGGAGTTCATGTCTGGGTTGCATCTGGAACTCTGTTGGCTTTGAAGGAGGTGGCAGGGGGAGGAAGGGGGTCAGGTGGGGTGGGGTTTGGGGGGTTTGGAAACCCAGGGAAAATAAGGCCCTTTGTACTGCCCGGAGACTTCTCGGGGAGCAGGGTTTCGAGTTGGAGGGAGCAGTCTTCATAAAACCATTCTGCAGACCAGCCCATGTGGTTGTAATTAATACCCTGCCTTCGAGCAGGTAGCCGGCCTGGGGCTTGGCCAGAGATGGGAAGAGCCCTCCCTCCCTCTCCTGCCCAGGCTTCCCTCCCACCCTTCTTCCCGCGCCTCCTCCTCCACGGCGGCGAGATGAGGAATGTGGACTTTACTGAACCATAAAGTATGCTGGGGGAGCTGGGGAGGGGGCTGAAGACAGAGCAATTAGTTCATGCTCCAGTCCAGACACCCAAACATGGTTGGAGTCCAGCTGCAAGGAATATTTGAAATAAATGAGCCGCCCCGGGCCAGGAGTTTGCTGTGTTTTCTGTACGGGGCCATGGCAACCAGGGAGGAAATCATGAGCTAGGGATTGGGCTTTAGAATCAACAAATGATGTCCTGGCCGAGCAAGCCCAGAGGAAGCCGCTCATGGCTCTCCGAGGGCTTCTTAGGGCTCAGCTGCTGGCGGACGGGCTGGCCTCACGGTCCTCCGGTGTACTCCGTGCGGTCCTGCCCCAGCCTCGGACCTCCGTGTCCTCTGCGGGGCTCTGACCTTCTCTTTTTTCCCTTTTCTGCCTTTCTTCTTCTTCTTCTTCTTCTTTTTTTAAGAAAACGGAAAGCTAACACTTCTTTGGAACCTTTCTTCCTGGGCCAGAGCACAGCTGCCGCTGCCCGTCTGATAATGGTTTTGCTGAGCAGAGGGAATGTTCCCGGTGGAAAAGCCCAGGCTGAGGGCAGCTGTCTGGATGGAAGGTGGGATTGACTTACCCTGGCTCTGTCTTCCCACCCAATCCAGCGGCCGCCCCTTCAGGGTCTCCTTCATAGGCAGGAAAGGCAAAGGCCTCCTTTATCCCTCCCTTGACTCTTCTGAGGGTGGGCCTTACAGGTGTCCCCAAGATTGTGTCTTCTAGAAACACACAGAGAGCAGGGCCTGGCATGGGGGCCCTTGGCTGGAGTTCACAGGTACCTCCTGCGTTGGAATCATGAGGGCACCTTGGGAACAAAGCAAAATTCCAGAAACTTTGATGCAGTAAATGGAGCCCAGGCATCTGTGTTGTGCAACCCTGGAGCTGAGTCAAATGTGTTGCCCCGGGGTGGATGCAGGGCCGGACCCCTGCAGACCCCCTGGCCTTTTCCATTCCCCTCAGAGGCTCACAGGGGCTGTGACTCAGAGAAGCCTGGAGATTCCGTGAAAATCAGCTCTCCCTGCCCTGTGTTTCAGAGCATGTGCCGAGGTTTTGCAGAGCTGGGCCCACACCACCAGCCTCTTCCCGGGCAAGGAAGCACTTGTCTCAGAAGAGTGATCTGGACAGTCTGAGAAAAATACCAGACTGGGGGCGCCTGGGTGGCTCAGTTGGTAAAGTGTCTGCTTTTGGCTCAGGTCACGATCCTGGAGTCCCGGGATCCAGCCCGTCCTCAGGCTGCCTGCTCAGTGGGGGGTATGCTTCTCCCTCTCCCTCTGCCCCCTACCGACTGCTTGTGCTCACTCTCTCTCTCTCAAATTAAAAAAGAAAATTAAAAAAAAAATACCCGAGTGGAGGCAGGAAACCTCAGCCTTGGGCTCATCCCCCATGCCTCAGTTTCCCCAAGGAAATTAGCCCTGGAAAGCTGAGCCGGCAGCTCGTAGCCTGCATGGAGGTCTTGGAGCCACAGCACAAGTGCCGTCCAGCAGGGCTGTCCCCTGGGAGGTGCCCTGGATCTGCCCCATGACCTCAGCACCACCCAGGATCACGTCTCTCCCTGCTCGTGTCTCCCCTCTTAAGGCATGAGGAGCAGACGAGCCATTCTTCCTTCCACCTGTACGCCCGGGCCCCACCTTTTGAGAGATTTTTCAACCAAAGCACTTTGGGAAGTTCCTTCCCATTGATTCTGTTGAACAAAGCCACCGTCTGGGTAGCGATGACCCCAGGTGGAAGAAGCCTCAGCCGAAAAACAAAGGACTTGACCCTCGAGCTGGCCTGTGTGTCGAGTCTGTGAGACCACAGAGAGGGCCCGGGCTCTGGGGCCAGGACAGCCTGGGGTTCCTGCCCAGCTCCCCAGCCCACCCAGGATGGTCACCTCCAACAAGGCTCTCAGGAGGCTTGCCGTGCCTGTCTGGGACGTGGTGGCCGCACTTGCCTCCCCAGGCCCTCTGAGACACTGGAAGCGTACAGTGGGACGCATCGAGGTCCTGGGTACAAGGACCTCCCACCTCATCCTTTTCCAACCAGCTTTTTAAAAAATTGTGGTGAAACTCATAGAACATCACATTCATTGCTTTAAAGCATACGCTTCAGTGCCATTAACACATTCCTGATGATGGGCGGCCACCCCCCCCATCTGCTTCCAGAACATTTTTATCCCCCCAGGGGAAGCCCTCCCCACTCCCCCTCCCCAGCCCCCAGCAACCGCCCATCCGCACTTGGACTCTACCTGTCCTTGTGCCGTTCCGATCAGTGCGTCACACACCATGAGACTCTGTATGTCCCACTTCTCTCACCTCCAACTGGCTTTCCAAGGGGGTGTTCCCCGAGCCCTCCCGCCCCCCTTTGTCTTCCCTTTGTCTTGCTTCCCTCTTTGGTAAAACAGAGAGAAAATGTCCTCCCTGGAGGTTCCCGCGAGGATTCCGGGAACCCGTGTCTGGAAGGAACCTAGAACACAGCCTGGCCCACAGTAAGTGGTCAGCAGCAATGGCAGCTAGCAGGAAGCCTCGCGCACCACCTGCGGCTCCCCCAGGCCCTCGTGTGCTCAGAGGTTGGCCGACAAGCCTTTCCTAGGAAGGCATCTTGCAAAGACATTGCCTGGGCCCCAGAGCCTCTGTCCTGATGCATGGAAACGAGGTCAGTTTTCTCAAAAATCAGCCTCATAATCAGGGAGACAAAGAGCTAGGTGGCCCCGCTCCGTGTCTCTGACCCCAGTTTCCACGTGGCACTGGGTTCCTGTGGCTGCTGGAATAAAGCACCACGCACTGGGTGGCTTAAAACAATACGCATTTATTTTCTTATGCTACTGGGGTCCAGACATCCAAAATCAAGGTGTGGACAGAGCCATGCTCCCTCCCTCTGGAGGCTTCAGGGGAGAATCCTTCCTGCCTCTTCCAGCTTCTCGTGGACCCAGGCCGTCCTTGGCTTGCTGTCATGTCACTCTAGCCTCTGCCTCTGTGGTCACGTGGTCTCCTCTTCTGTGTCTGTGTGTCTGTCCCATAAGGACACCCGTCACTGGGTTTAGGGCCCATCCAGGATGAGATCATCTGGGGATCCTTAACTTAATGGCACCTGTGAAGACCCTTTTATCAAATAAGGTCATATTCACTAGTTCTGGGGTTAGAACATAGCCTACATCTTTCTGAGGGCCATCCTCCGACCCTCTACAGGTATCTTCAGAACAAAGCTCATAGAGGCGCCCGCTGGCTCAGCCTGTGGGGCGCGTGACTCTTGATCTGGGGATTGT